AATGAAACAAGTTATATGAATTGTTGAATGTAAAACTGATGATGTGCCCTGTAAACTTTCACTCAATCCACAATAAAAACCTTAAATTAAAAACAAAACAAAACTGGTTCACTATAGAACTATACTTTTAGACAGGTCGGTTTATATCAATTTTTTTATATCTTAACTGTGAAAGAGGGGATATCCTAGCTATCATTTATGAAAATTAATGAAAAGGTAGAAATATAACTTGATATTTTTGAATCTCTGTCTATTTTAGTGTAGGAGAAAGGACTATCGTTGTTGGGTTTTTTTATTTCTCATATCTGATTTAATATCTTAAAATTTTTAAGGTCATTTAAAGACTTTACATTTTTTAATCTTACTGAGCTCTGAATATGCAGATTGTTCATTTTAATGAATTTTTAAAGTTTCTTGTACTTAATGGAATAAAATATTTAAGTTATTTGTAAAATTTATATGAATACACTTCTTTAAACATTATAATTAAAAACTAGCTTATCCTAACTTAAAGAAACCGTGGTAGCTTACTGGGTTTTTAATGGTTGCTAGCCATAAGGTCAGCAGTTTGAATGTACCAGCCACTTCTCTTGGTAAAGAGGAGGCTCTCTGCTCCTGTAAAGATTTAAAATCTCAGCTGGCCTATACAGGATCTCTCTGAGTCAGAACTGACTCAGTGGCACACCACCACTCCTTCCACCATCCTAACTAAAGTGTCAACAAAAATTTTAATGCCCGTCAACTTTTATGTGTTTGCAAATGATGACTCTAAAAAATAAATTTTTGATTGTTTATATTTTTTCCTTATAGATGGATCCAGCATTAGAAAAACATCGAGAACAACTGGTCATTGAAGTTGGACGAAAACTGGACAAGGCTCGCATGATTCGCTTTGAGGAGAGAACTGGATATTTTTCTTCCACCGACTTGGGTAGAACCGCCAGTCACTATTATATTAAATACAACACCATTGAGGTATTGTACTGAATTGAACAAATGCAATAATATATTTGTTACTACAAACAAGTACTTTCTAGACCTCAATATACACTATTTAATGCAAAAATTTTAAAAGCAACTCACAGAACAATGCATTTTATTTACATAATTCAACAACATATATTCAGTAAAGGGAAACAAAAAAATCAGATTTTGAATACTGGTAAGTGTTACGTAGCATGCACTATATGTAAAATAGAATGTTAAATGATTTAGACATTGTCTGAGCACCATATGGAAACTTTCTGACAGCCGTCTTCCAGTCATCCTCATTGCCATTTTGCACCTGCTAAAGCTGTGGGTGAAGGCTGAATAGCATCAGAGAGTCCTGGTATAGTGCTGCAGGGTAAGCACTGGACTGCTAACCCCAGGCTGGTATTTTTAACCCACCAGTCACTCCTTGAAAACCCTATGCAGGATTACTGTGAGTCTAAATGGACTAAGCATCACTTACCAACAAAAACAACAGTAGCAGTAGCAGCGGCCGAGAGTGCACTTAAGAGGAAGCAAATAGAGAGGGGACAGAGAGCACCCAGCTTCAACCTGTTCCAGCCATCTGAGCGGCAGGAGCAACCTGACTCCTGTATCCCCCACTGTCGCCCTCCTGCCCATCAGACAAAGCCTGAGATGCACACCCAGAGCCTTGTTCTCTGCTTGTCCTACTTGTATGACATCCATGATCCAGTACTGCAAGACTCTGGATTTGAAATCTTTAAAACCACTTGTTGTTAAGGGCTGTCAAGTCAGTTCCAACTCATAGTGACCAGGTATATAGGGTTTCCACAGAATGGCTGGTGTGTTTGAAGCACTAACCTTGTGGTTAGCATCCTAGTGCTTATCCTCAAGCACTACAACAGTATTCCATAAATCCACTTGTTGTTGTTGTTGTTGTTAAGTGCCGTCGAGTCGGTTCCGACCCATAGCGACCCTGTACAGGGTTTCCGAGGGTATAAATCTTTACGGGAG